TCTGGCCCTCGGTCCAGGGACGTTCCCCTTTCCTTCAGACAGCAGCAGCATCCCCCCGAGCGGAGATATAACCGGGGTTTCCATCACCACCTCTCTGATGCGACAAGCGGGCTGAGCTCCCTCCAAGGCGTTTTGTCTGGTGGTGATACTTCTATGAGGCTCCTTGCCCCTCCGCGTGTGTCACCCACCACCCCGGGGGGCACTGAGGATGTGTCCGCTGGCTGGAGCTGGCTCCGGCCGTGGTGTCCTGCCTGGCTCCCGGGCTGGGGGATGATGTGCGGCTGGCCCAGGCGTGTGGGGCCAGAGCTGCCCACTCCCAGTCCCACATTCCCCCCCCAGGCTGTGCTGCTGTTCCAGCTGCCTGCACTTAGGACCTGGAGGAAGCGCCTGGCGCTGGCTGTGAAGGATCATGTGATGGTGGTGTCCACGTCCCCCTTCGTGCCCCATCTTGGGCTTGCTGAGCACCCGATGAGGATGGGGCTGCCAGCTCTCACTCTGCTGCTGGCAGCGAGGCTCCTGCACACGGAGGTTAGGAAACACGGGTGGAAAGTTTGGGAGAAGCGCATGGGGCTGAGCTGTGAAGGATCTGGTGGGACGGGCTCTGGGATCTGCCTTGCTTTCCTCTCCCGTGTCCCTGCTCTTCCTGCTATGGCTCCCTTCTGCTGCAGCCTCTATCCTGCCCCAGTGTCCTGCTTGCGTTCCCAGCTCCCTGCCTGCCCTTCCAGCACCTGGCCCCAGTAGCACCTGTCCCCCTAAATGCCACCAGCTCAGCTGCAGGGTGTTTGATTAGCGAGGGGGGGCCATCAAATATGAGAGGTGCAAATGGCTGCCCTGCTTCTCTCTCCTGCTCTCCTAGGACAGAGTGGTACCTGCCTTGTCCCCGCACCGAGGATGGGGAGGGTCTCCCCAGGAACCAGCCCCCATCGGTCGCTGTCCCAGACAGCATGGGAGGGGGTGGCTGGGCTTGGAGAGGGTCTGCAGCCCCCCAGCACTGCCCTTCTCCCCAGGCCTCCCCCCTGGCACGCTCCTTCCAGCTGGATTATGAGAAGAACTGCTTCCGCAAGGATGGTGCCCCTTTCCGCTACATCTCGGGCAGCATCCACTACGCCCGTGTCCCGCGCCCTGCCTGGAGGGACCGGCTCCTCAAGATGTACATGAGTGGGCTCAGCGCTGTGCAGGTGTAAGTGACGGGGGCAGTCCTGATGGCACAGAGCCCACGGCCCCTCGGGGTCTCTGGGGTCCCCAGAGCAGGGACAGAGGCAAGGCTGTTGTCTGATCACAGGGAGTGGGGACCAGGCCTTGCACTGGGCTGACTGTGACCCCCCCAAGACGCCCCTACCAGACACAAGCATGAGCCTGGGCTAGTCCCAGTCCAGCCCCAGTTGCCATCCTCAGCTCAGGCTGGAGGCTAGTTCCCAGGAGCAGAGGGACCAGCCTGTGGGATGGTTCCCTGTTGTGTGGGGCTGCCCTGAGCCCCCCATGTGCTGATCTCCCCTCTTGCCCCAGCTACGTCCCCTGGAACTACCACGAGCCGCTGCCGGGGGTTTATGACTTTGCTGGGGACCGGGATGTGGAAGCCTTCCTGGACCTGACAGCTGAGCTGGGGCTTCTGGTGATCCTGCGGCCAGGGCCCTACATCTGTGCGGAGTGGGAGATGGTGAGCCCAGCCCCTCAGCTGGGCACAGAGGGGTGTTGGGTGGTCCGGGAAGGGCACAGCAGGGTGGGCCGACTCTGGTGCCATGCCAGCCGTGCCCAGGGTGCCGCCCTACAGGGCACACGCCGCCCCGGTGCCGAGCATTAGCGTTGTGCTGGCTGGGTTTTGGCTGTGCGCCACTCTGGGCTGCTAAGTGGTTTCTCTGCCTCCCTCTTTGCTGTCCGTGTTTCTCCAGGGTGGCCTGCCCGCCTGGCTGCTGTGGAAGCCAGATATTGTCCTGCGCTCCTCCGACCCTGGTGAGCCTTGACACGGGGCTCTGGCCACTATGCCCTTACAGCCTAATGCCAGTCCCGGCACACAGGTCTCTCTCCATGCACCTACCAGCCCTGAGTGCATGGCCTCTCCCATCTTCTCCATCTTTTGGGAGCCCTGTAGTTCATCCTCCACCTCTGCTTCCCCATCGTGCTTGGCCCTGCCCCGTTGGCTCCATCCTCCTCCTGGCAGGGCTGGCTGCAGGTGGGCTGGGGTGGATGCTGCAGCCCAGCTGAGATGCCCTCTGTCACCCCAGCCTACCTGGCAGCCGTGGACTCCTGGCTCCATGTCCTGCTACCCAAGATCAAGCCACGCCTGTACCAGAATGGAGGGAACATCATCAGCGTGCAGGTAAGGTGCTGTGGAGCCCAGCCCCCTGCCCTGCTCTGGGTCATCTTTGCATGTGCCCCAAAAAGCCACCTGTACCCCCTACACCATGACCTCATCTGGCACAGCTCTTAGATAAATCTCTCCTGACCTCTGGATCTGTGTTTAAATCCAAGGGCTGGGATTCTAGGGTACCTGCCACCACCCCAGTTGTGGTTTAAGGGACACTGGCAAAGCTGGGGGTCATGGCAGGGCTGGAAGGTCATTCTCAGGACCCCCCTGGGGGCTGTCACGACATCTGCTGATGTCAGGAGGGAAGTGGGGGGGGCTGGGTGCTCATCCCAGTGGGCAGTGGGACCTAGCTGCAGCCCTGGCATGTGCACGCTGGGTGCCAGCCACTGCCTTGCTCACAGGTGGAAAACGAATATGGGAGTTACTACGCCTGCGACTACGGGTACCTTCGGCACCTGCTGGGCTCCTTTCGGGCACTGTTGGGGAGCGAGGTGCTGCTCTTCACCACCGACGGCACACGGGCGGAGGAGCTGCGCTGTGGCACGCTCCAGGGGCTCTATGCTACCATCGACTTTGGGCCAGGTATCCCTATGCGGGAGGGGGAGGAGGAGCAGGAGAGGGGATGGGGGTCCCTGCTCTGTCCTGCTCCAATCTCGTGTCCCCCACCTCTGCAGGCTCCAATGTGACGGAGGCGTTTGGTGCCCAGCGCCGGGTTGAGCCGAAGGGGCCCCTGGTGAGCTTGGTGTGGGTGCCATGGGGGGGAATGACCCGCAGTGGCTTTGGGGAGGCAGAGGGGCTAGGGGGGCAAGGCAAAGAGGGATGCTGGGG